TGCAAGGAGATTAACTGGAAGTGACTTCACTCCTACATGCTTTAGCCCTTTAACCACTGAGAGTGACTCTAAGAATTTAATTTCTCCTTGCAATATCAGCCCTGAATCAAACATGTCAGTCACAAACATAAAGGAAATGATCATCAACTAAAGAATCCCTTGATTGTTACACAAATTCTCCTTGTCAGCACCTTAGGACATTTGTAGAGAACAGTATGGAGAATATGCATACTGATGTTGGGTGTAAAGGGTTAATGACTGTGTAGTTCAAGCTTACTGTGAAACACAGAATGCAATGAACACTGGAAATACTTATAGAATATTTTTGTGGTTATTACAATGAGCTAATCAAGCATGAGAAAACTGAACTGCAAACAGTATCAATATTTGCTTAGTGGTTGTGAGGTTTGCTTTGTATGTCCTGTGAACTTTATGGTTATTAGCGGTGAGCACACATTTTTTTTTGTCAAAGTCAAAATAATATGTATCAATAGTATCAATATCAATATTTGTATCAGTAGTATCAGTATCAACATTTGCTTAGTGGCTGTGAGGTTTCCTTTGTATGTCCTGTGAACTTTATGGTTTTTAGCGGACAGCACACATTTTTTTTTTTTCAAAGTCAAATAATAATTATGTGCTCCTTTACCCTAAGAGGTGGGCTTTAAATTCAAGGAAGGTCATCAAAATGAAACTCTTTGAGAATTCCTCCTTGAAAACTAGAAGGTGGCTATTCATTAGGTGCCTATATAAGGAAATACAGAAGTCTACATAAAGAGAAAAAGATTTTAAAGCACAGGTCCTCCATTTCAGAATCACTCAAAAGCCCATACAGTCGTAAACAAACAAACAAGTCAAAGACAGCAATAATACATGCATATTCAAACATAAATATATACATATGTACAAACTAGTTTACTGTGTATTATACTCTTAGCTATTTGTAAGCAACACTCACAAGCTAATTTTCAGGTATTAAACTGAAGAAAAATTAAAATAGAATGACTTAATGTAATATAAAAA